ATTATTATCAGTCAGGGTCCAGTGAGGAAAACAGATATTATGTGAGGTATTTCAACAGTGGGGATTTAATATAGAAAATTTGTCATAGGCGTCAGGAGGCTAAAAGAGCAAAAGGCAATACTGCAGGTAGCCTGGAAGGCTGCGGAGAGCAACTAACTCCCAGTGATAGATAACTAAGGGGAAAGGCTGGGGGTCACCAGAGCCTGCAAATGTGGAGGGCAGCTCATGGGGAGAAAGCATCACTCACCCACCACTGCTGGTGTTTCTGAGAGGGTTTGACAAGGTTGCTTCTCAAGGAGCCAAAAGCAGATAGATGTTGGAACCAACTGCTGTCCCTAAAGCAAGGAGGTGCTGTTGGGCCACACTGACTGGAATAGCAAGTGGTCACTCGGAAAGAAGAAAGTCCCTTCTCACTGTCTTCCTACCTTCCCGCCTCCCTCTGGTGTCCACTCCTGGCATAGCCCAGTGGAAGCCAAGGCGCAAAGAAGACAGTGAGAGGTACCCCACAGAGTCCGAGACCCAGCACGAGAGAGAAGAGGGCTGAGGGGTGGATGTGGAGCTGAGAAACCATAGGCAAAGACCAAGACTGTCCAAGTCTGTGCTTTGCTCCAGCATGTGACCCAGTATAGCACTTGTCTTGAAATTCTAGTTTTACTTTTTAAGAAAGAATTTTTATTTTTGAAAATAGTTTCTAATTGTAATAACTGTTTTATATGTATAACAATATAATAAAACTGTAGCCAGATAGATATACCTAATGTAATACCTAGAGCAACCACTAAAACAGCTAATCAAAGAGAGATCTAAAGCAGAACAAACAGGAAAACAAAAAAATAGAAAAGCAGACATAAAAGCCCTAACATATCAATAATTACATTAAATATAAATGGTCTAATTCATCCATTAAAAGACAAATTGGCAGAGAGGACAAAAATTGTTGAACTCTATAATGTCTACAAGAAACAAACTTCAAATATAATGCTATAGGTAGGCTGAAAGTAAAAAGATGGACATAATATATCACACAAACATTAACCAAAAGAAAGCAGGAAAATAAAAAAAGATAGTTAATAACAAGCATTGGTGAGAATATTAAGAAATGGAACCCTCATAGATTGTTGGTGGGATTATAAAATGGCATATCCTCATTGTAAAAACAGTTTGGCAATTCCTCAAAAAGATAAACATAAAGTTGCCATACGTCCAGCACTTCCACTTGTAGTTATGTATGTATGGGAATTGAAACATATGTCCCCACAAATATCTGTATACAGATGTTCAAACCAACATTATTCATAATAGCTAAAAAGCAGAAACAACCTAAATGACCATCAAATGAATGGATAAATAAAATGTGCCATATAAATTAGTCAAGGGGATGAAAATACAGCATAGAGAATATAGCCAATAGTTCTGTAACATCCTTCTATGCCGACTTCTATGACTACGTTAGTTACTATCTAGGGGTGAGGATTTAATAATTACATAACTGCTGAATCACTATATTGCATACTTGAAACCAATATAACATGGTACATCAACTCTACTTCAATAAAAATAAATAGATAAATAAATAACAACATAAAAAGTGGCATATCCATTCAGTGGAATGCTATTCAGTCTTAAAAAGGAATGATGTATTAATAAATGCTACAACATGGATAAACCTTGAAAACATTATGCTAAATAAAGAAGCCAGTCACAAAATGCTATATGTTATATGACACCATTGCTATGAAATGTCCAGGAAAGGAAAATCTACTGAAAGAAAAAGAACATTCTCCAAGACTGAGGAAAAGGGCAGAATGGGAAATGACTGCTAATAAGTATGAGGCTCCTTTTCAGGGTGATGAAAATGACCTGAAATTTGACAGTGGTGATGGTTACTCAAATCTGCAGATTTACTAAAAGTCACTGAACTGTTTGCTTCACAAGGGTGAATTTTATGGTATCTGAATCACATCTCCATAAAGCTGCTTTTCAAAAAAGGCAGGAGTGGCTATCTTAATATCAGATAAAGAAGACTTCAGAGTAAAATAATTACTTGGGACAGAGGGGAATAGAAAGAAAGGAAGAGAGAGAGAGAGAGAGAGAGAGAGAGGGAGGGAGTAGGGAGGCAGGAAGGGAGGGAAGGGGGAAAGGAAAGAAAAAAAGGAAAGGAAGGAAGAAAAGATAGGGGAAGAAAGAAAGAAAGACTGATTTGAAAATATTTCTGAATGGAACTTTGTTTTAGATGTACTGATGTGCTAAAATTCATCTGTCAGACATCTTAAAAAACATGGTATTAAGGTGTTTTTCCTGCTCTTTTACACTCTCAAAAGTATTTGGGTTGGTTTAGTTGACTTTATTGTTTTTCTATTCTTTATTTCATTTATTTCTGCTCTGATCTTCACTGTTTCTTTCTTTCATCGGGTGTAGCTGGCTTTTTTTTTTTTCATTTTATTTTTTTCAGGTGGCTGATTAGGCCATTGATTTGAGATCTTTCTCTTTTTTAACACAGGCAATTAAAGCTCTAAAGTTCTCTCTTAGCAGTGTTTCAGCTTCATCCCATAAATTTTGGTATGTTGTATTTTTTCATTCTTCTCAACACTTTTCTTTTGATTCCTTATTTGATCCGTTGGTTATTTAGGAGTGTGTTGTTTAATTTCTATGTGTTTGTGAATGTTTCAGATTTCATGATAGTAATAAATAGAGCATATTTATTCCCAAAGGCGGAGCTGGAACCAGTGAAGCCGAGAGCCAAGGTGTCTGGTAAGACTTCCTGTGGCTGGTGGGTTATCAGGAGTGCTTTTCCACCCTTTGCGGATTCCCACTGTGTCCCAGACTGTAATCTCTGGCACTGTGCCTAGATAGGCACCACATTAAAATGGAATGCTGGAGTATTTTTTTTAGAACACCCCCACTCCCTACCACCTGCTGTTTCTTATTTCATGCAGGCTTTGGAGTTTTTACTGGGAAAAGAGCAAGTGAAGGAGTGTGGGTGGCTGGCTAGAGGACCCTATCTTTGAGCACGGCAGCAGTTGGACACCACGAGATCACAGAGACGCACAGGCTAACTGTGGCCCAGGACCAGGCCATGTTCTCTGTATTGGGGCTCATAAGGAGTTGGGGTCTCCTGGCTGCAGGGAGAGGAAGGGAACTAAGAGTTTCTGCACATGTAAGACATAGTATTACGCACAGGCAGCCCTACTGGGCACCTTGTGCAGGTTTTCTCATCTAATCCTCCCAACCACCCCATAAGGCAGGTATCGCAGTGTCCTTTCTCTGGGGAAAAAAGTAGAGCAGCCGAAGTCAGAGATTTGCATCCAAGCTCCCCTGTCAGTTAACGAACTCTGTGACCTTAGTCAAACTTCCACCTGCTCCAAGAGACCCTTTCACATCTCACTGAGTTGTTTCTTATCTCAAATTGGGTAACATATGTGAGAGGTTTTTACTCAATGAAATGAATACATGTAATATTGTCAGTCATTGTTAAATATCTAAAACACATCTTGCTAGAGGCCTCCACAGACTGAAGCACCGCCAGACGAAGCTCAGCCCTGGGCCTTTCCTCAGCCTCCCTTTCACCAACACAACCTAAACCATGAAGATAAGCAATTAACACAGCTACACAGAACCGCCTCACCCAGCAGCCCGACCCTGGTGGCCCACGGCAACTGGGTGGTGGGAAGGGCTGGAAGGGGCCTGCTGTTATTAGCTATTAACATTCCTGTCTTACTTTGGCGTATCACCACTATGCTTGGGGACGTGGGTGCTCCCTCCTGGCAGGTGCAGGTTCACTCTCTCCGCCCTTGGTCAGGCGTCCCTGGTGGGGAGAGAGCTTGTGTGCAGTGTAACTATGTTTAGAGCCAAATCAGAGCGGAATGGGAAATGCGCTGCAGGCCCCGTCTCACTCTTAATGACCCCCTCCTCCTCTCTACCCACTCTCCCTGTGTGCTCCCTGGTGGCCTCAGGGCCTCTTCTGCAACAGAGTACAGGGTGCGAATCCTGTCAGTGTCCTGTCCTGGAAGGGATCCTGTCAAGTGTGAAGTAATGAGAAGGGCCCGAGTGCAGGGGAGGAGTACGTGTGGCCCACAAGGAACAACAGACCATGAGGGTCCCTGGAGGCCATCCGAGGAGCTGGCTTTTCTCAGCCCTAAGGGCAATGGAAGCTCTAGAAGGAAGAAGCTATGCTCCGACTTGGATTTTGAAACTCACTTTTACTGCTGCGTAGCATTAAAAACAACACAAGAAGTCCCTTATGCTAAGCCTCATGTCATCAAATGGAGACTTAAGTTAATTACAGTTTCAGCTCTCCCAGAAATGGAATCTAAACCAGTCAATCAGGAATCACCTGATCAGCACAAGTGAGGCCATCTGCCTGATAGGCCCCTGCCATCCCCTAAAGAAAATTTGGAATAACAAGCCTTCTTTTTGCCTGGAATAACTTCCTTGTTGTCGCTTTTCTGTAAAAGATTCTCATGTTGTACAGCTCCTCCCTGTCCCTTGCCATCTGCTTGATTGCATTACTGCCCAATTTGAATTAATATTTGCTCAAATACACTTTTAACATTTTTAATATACCTCAGTTTATCTTTTAACCATTCTGGGGTCCTAAGTGGGAACTGAAGGAGGCCCCCAGTGGCCCCCAGGAGCAACGAGCAATGAGGTGCAGGTACCTGCTGAGCCCTGAGCTCGTTGCTTGCTCGCTGCCTCAGGAGGTGGTGGTAAGTCTCTCTGGGATCCCAATGCACCAGTTTTCAGACTTGGAGGTTTTCTTTTTCCCAGATGGGTCTGGAAACGAGTCAAAGCGAAACTGAATCAAATTTGGAAACCAGACTAGATCCAACTTAGAAACTGGACTGGGTTTGGGGTCAGACTGGGTCTAATTTAAGCTGGACCCCATCCAGTGTGAACCCTTGGGTGAATAAAATTTTGTTTTAAGGCTGAACAAGCAGGCAATGTTTACCAAAGTTAATTTTGAATTATAGTGGCCACAGAGGAGAACTTTAATCCCAGTTAAGTTTATCCAGAGATAAAGCGGTCTCGGGCAAGGACCCACCATAACGAGTTGAGGGAAAATGATTTTTCCTTCTCTCAGTTTCTGGTGACCAGGGTAAGGCCTGCTAGGACACCCCACTCGCTTCAGAGCCTGTAGACACTGGCAGAGGGTGAGAATACCTACCACGGGCTGCTGTCCCGATCCCTACCTGCGGTGCCTGGGTGAGAGAAGGTAAAATTTCATGCTGTCCCTTCCTTTCCAAATTCAGATAGGCAGGCAAAAAACACTTGTAAAAATTAGATCTTTGATGGAAACTTGTGGGTTTGTTTCTGGGTACCCGCTGGTTGTCGATCCTTTTTCTCCCAGGGACAGTGACTGCTTTCTTGTTTGTCTTGCTCTGTGTCCTGAGAACTTGACTTGGCAACCACCAGGTTGGGGGCCCCCACAATATGGCAGACAGAAATGTAGGTTCACCCTATTTATGGCTAGATATGGCCAGACAGAAATGTGTGTTGCACTCTACGTGTGGCTGGGGTCCTGCCGACTGTGGCTAGCTCTCAGGGGAACTAAGTCTGTCTTTCTTCTGGTTATCATTGAGAGTGGCTCTGGATCTTGGGAGAGTAGAATCTTTTGCACCCTCTTTCAGGACGCCTTTTACACCCAGGTGGTTGCTCAGTACTGACAGTAATACTGCTTGTCCTGGCTGAAAGCTATCAAGATATTTGAAAGGGCATTTGATTGTTGAAGTAGCTCTGTGCTCAGAAGTAGTCAAAATTGGAAGCTGATACAGACAGCCTGATAGGAACTTTTTTTTTTTTTAGCCTTCTCCCCTAAGCTAAAATGAAACTAAGTACCCAGAGAGAAAGAAAAACATTGTGAAGCCTTTTGTAGAAGGGTTTACTATAGCATTCCAAAGACACACAGCTCTAAATCCAGCACCCAGGAATCTGGATTTCCGCCTTGGTCGACGATCTTCTCCCTGATACAAAGACGCAAACTGAGGATAGCGTAGTGGGATGTCTGGGTCAGCCCCTTGATGATCACTGAGGTTGCAACTCAACTTTTTGAGGAATTAAAACCAGCTGCTCTTGTCTTACAAATCTAGTCTTTACAAGAATAGAAATGTGGCTCTATAAATAATTCAAAACTCACCTTACCTTTTTACCAAGCCCCAAACATCCCCCATTAATCTTGAAAGGCCTGCAGATATTAAAAGATCTGGACTTAGGGAACAAAAGTCCTTCTTGGTGGAACTTAATCTGGATGGATATAAAAAGCTGTAGAAATTTTGTGGAAAAGGGATCTTGGGAAAGGAATTTTATGTGTGGTCAAGCTAAGATTAGAATGGGTTCATTTAAGTTTTTAAAAACAAATTTTAATATCAAAATCACTCTAGTGCAAAATCAGAACTTGGTTTTCTCTGTTAAATGGCCAAAATTTTCTTAGATTATTGGTCTGCTCTTAATAAGAAATTATAACCACAGGTTTTTCTCTACCTTTTAAGTAATTTACCTGGAGAGCAAAAATTTTGGGTCTTAACAAATAACTTATTGTTGGTCAGGCTGTCTCCATCAGGTCTTGGATTACCTAAGAAAACCCAGTCTTTTCCATGTTAAGAGAGCTAAGTTTTGTTCATGCTTGTGTAACCTTATATATTTGCCTTTACCATCTTCTGTTGTCATTGTGGTTGAACAGATAATTAAGTATTATCTCATAATGATCTATGATCCAATTTAATCAAACCTTCTAACATGTTCCCCAAATCAAATTCTAAATGGAGTCTTTGATGTCAAACAAACTTAGATTTCCCAAAGGGTCTCTGCAAAATCTTAGAGGTTTTGTCTCTCACCTTATAAAAGAGAGATGTTAAATTAATTCCATTTATTTGGTACGTTAAATTACATAGGAAACATTGCCAAGTACGTGATGATAAACTTTAGTTTATATGTGCAGATATATGTTACTAACATGAATATTCCAGAAATTGTTTGAAGTTCGTAGAAATTTATCAGTACTCTCATTATCCAGTCATTGCTTTAAATTGTTGTATGCCACAGGAATAACTATATTTTCTTACAATAAACTCTCATCAGATCTTTAATCATGGAGCTTTAAAATCATTTGTCATTTACAGACAGTATTGTTTTGCTCTGATGCTTTTGCAAAAGTGAAATTCATGGCAAGGACCCTACTACGTACTCTTGACGACTGATACTGCCACCAGTTTACAAGATGTCAAAACTTGGGTGCATATTTCACAACTGAAGAAGGCTCCACCTGACATCTGGTTCTGTGCAAAACCTGGAGATCTCAGAATTAAATTGAATAGGAGGAGTAGGGTGCAACACTGAGGTAGGCTGCATAGCACTGCCCAGCTATTTCCCAGCCTTCTTCACAGGTAAATGCAGCCACATGACAAGGTCCATGCCCTAGAATGCAAATAAAAGGGTAGGTGCACCTTCTGTTTCTCACTTAAAAGGGAATCGCTTGCCCTCTTCTTTTTCTCTTCCCCTTTCCTAGGCTGATGCATGTATGTGGTCATGACCCAGCTGTGACCACACCACCAAAGACAATATCCTACAGATGATGGTGCAACAAGATGAAAGAAGCAAGACCCCTAACTGACCTGATGGTACTGAGCAGCCACACCAGTCAGGACCACTCATCTCTGGTCTCTGCTGAGAAATAAATAAACTGTATCTTCCTTTAGCTGCTCTGTGTGTGTGTGTGTGTGTGTGTGTATAGATGTCTCCTTGTCATAGAAGCTTAAGCCAGTGCTTTAACATAGCAGCTTAGCCCTTCCCAAGGCAGAGTGGGCAGTAATAACTTCTCCAGAGCAGAGGTGAAATCTGTCATCTTATCTCCAGCACCCGGCAGAGCACCTTATAAAGACTGAATATTCAATAAATGGATGCCTGAACTGGTAAGAACTAAGACAATAAAAAATAAACTGCTTCAAATCTTAAGGGGCTGGGATGTAGTTAGGAGTCTGGACTTTGCACTGTCCACAGTTAGGTTCTGCGGAAAGTTTTCAAGTTAGGGAAGGACTTTGCCTTTTCAGGCTTCTCTGAACTGTGTTTGCTGGCAGCACCTGCTGGCAAATGGCGGTACTGCAGCCTGACTCAGGCTGTAACTCCTCAGGTAAGTGAAGACAGAGGAAGGAGTTGTTAACTATTACAAATTATACATAGGAGGTGCTAACGATGACAGGCTAAAGAACAACTCGGAACCACTCGGGGCCAGTCGCTGTGACAGGTGCTGTAGCAGCAGTGGCTCCTGCTGTGGGAGCTTCAGGTTTACAGATACGGTTCTGTCCTTTGATCTTGATGAACTATAAAATGTCTCTCCCAAACCTTCCCTCTTCCTGATTCTTTCTGTCCATTTGCATAGACTTTTGGTTTTCTCTTTTCTACCAGAGGAGTTAGTTACCATGGCAATGTTTGAGCTAACTTGTGACTTTGATTTAATTTAAAAAAAATAGAAAGAGAGAGAGAGAGAGAACCACAACCAAAGGACCAAACCCCCATGCTATCACGGAAAATTCAGTCTTCTCAGAGGTGACGATGCGGCAGAGCTCTGCGGCTGAGCCCACTGGGGAGACTTCTCCCAGTTCTCAGTTTTGAGAGAAGATGTTCTATTCCTAAAAACCAGTCTGATCACACTTAAGGACCCTGTGTGGCCCCTGCCATGATCACTTGCCCTTTAGCTTTGGCCTCCAGCAGTCTCAGAGAAAATTTCTGACCACTTTTCTCAACTGCATAAGATTGTGTTTTTCTCTGTGCCAATATATACCTGTTATATATAAATGTAAGCTCTGTGCAACATACACCTGCCACTGTATATACCTCCCCTTAATCTTTGTTTTTGTAAGCCACCTCAAATCTCTAAAATCCAACATTTGACTAAATATTAGAATGAATGACCCAGATTTAAACAGTGCCTCAGGGGTCAGAGAAAGGGGAGTTATTAATGAGCAAGGGAAGATAGGGTCTGTTCTTGGAAAAGGGAGGTGGGGGCTTGGTTAGGCCTTGATGGGTAAACCATGCAAGGTGGGCTTCCTATCAATTCTGTCAGCCTTTCCTTATAACTCGCCTCCTGGCCTCTGGAAATAACAAAAGATTGTTTTTGAATCGGCTTTCAGAATACCTGGTGAATTCTCCAGGTAACTAGCCACCCGCTCTCCCTGAGATGGCCTAACGGGCACCAGCCTTCCTCCACCATATGTCATGCCATCAGGAAGCCCCATTGTGCAAAGCTCTAAAATAAAGGCACTGAGCACTGCTGGAAGCAAGAGGGTGGCTTCCACTGCATGGCCAGGACACGGCTTTTTAAGGGGGGCTCCGGCAGTGAATTAAGTTACAAATAGCTGGCAGGTGCAGGTGGAAGGGGCTGGAGTTTCTGCGGCAGCATTGAGATCTGCTTTGGTAGCCACGAGATGTGCTTTAGGATTCCTGCCTTCCAGCCCCTGGACAGGGAAGCAGAAGCTGCTGCCACTGGCCCGTGAGGCCGGGCTGTCAGACATGGGCAGTAACTAAGGCTAGAATGAAGTCTTCGTCATAAATGTCCAGCTCCTTTTGCGGAGTCCCGACTCTTCCCTGGCAGGCAGGGGGGCAGGGCTCACTGGGGACCAATGTTGTTTCACCAGATGGGCCAGGCCTTCAGCCCATCACTGGCTCTGGGAACTCCATGCTGAGCCACCCCTCACCTCCCTCCTAGCTGCAGGGAGAGGCTCACGTTTGCCTGTTGGCAATGCCCTGATGCAGGGGGGCTGGGGCAGAACCAGGCACAGCTAATTAGAATGACTAATCAGGAGAATGGCCAATTACTGTCTGACGCAAAATAGATATTCCTGCTCTGCGGCCAAGGGAACAGTGCAGTTGGTAGGGACAGCTGAGGGTTTGGGACTGAGGAGGAGGTTCCTTTAGCTTCCCAAGGGCTGAGAGCAATAAGGCTGCACAGTAGAGAGGGCTGTGGGTCTGCATTTAAATATGGCATTTACCTGGGGGTCCTCCACAGGTTGGGCTGGCAGGGGGAGAATCAGACCTGAGTGTGAGGCTGCTAGTGTGGTGTGTGTGTGTGTTTGTACACATGCACATGCACACTGGAAAGATGTGTTTACTCTTAGCCCGGGAAAACTTTCTTGTGCCTTGTAGTTGGGAGAAAGGACTCAGAGGAGGGAGATTTACTTATGCTGTTAGACCTGAACACAAACAGAGATGACTTCCTAGTATCTACAGTACTTCCAGAAATGCAAAAGAACTCTCTCCTGTCCATCCCAGAGGTTCATCCAAACGATCCCTGGAAGGGTGCATGGCGGAGGGGCTGGCCACCAGAGAAAGGGAGGGATGTCCCTGTAAGGGGAGTGGAAATAAACTGCCCAGGAGGGCTGAGCAGGTTCAGTAAAGCTGGGTGACTACCCACTGGAGGGCACAGTATGCACCAGATGGCCGTGGAGAAGCGGTGGAAGACGAAGGGGCCTAGGCCAGAACAGCTGATCCTGTATTTCCAGTCCCCACCACACTTCCTAAGATGTGTGCCTGTCCTTTTCTAAAGAAGGTCATGAGAGAAATTAAATATGGACTATACATTGGATAATATTATTGCATCAGTGTCAAGTGCCTTGGGCATGATAATGGTATAGTGGTTTGGCAGAATGTCTTTGTTCTTAGGAGCACAGGCTGAAGTATTTAGGGATGACATGTCCTGATATCTGAAACTTCCAAGGGTTTCAGTAAAAAGAAAGAAACTGAAAGAATTAAAGCAGATGTGGCAAAATGGTAACAGTTGGTAGATCTGAGACAGTGGTAATATGGTGGTTCATTGTACCAGCTTTCAATTCTTCCGTAGTCTCAAAATTTTAAAAAACAATGTTCAGAGAAATGAATTACTGGTGCCTGACAATGTGAATGAATCAACATGTTGACTAAAAAAGGAACCAGACACAAAAGAGTACACACTGTACAATTCCATTTATGTGGAATTCTAGAACACATACAACCCTACAGTGGAGAGATGTCAGATAGCGGCTGCCTGAGCCGCATGCACACATGCGTGTGTGTGTATGTGGTGGGTGGGCTGACTGGGAAGGATCATGAAGGAATGTTCTATATCTCTATAGGGCTTTGGGTTATGCAGGCATGAGGTATTATTTAAAACTGGGTAAATATACACATAAGATTTGTGCATTTGATGATTTGTAAAATTTATATCAAAAGAAAAAAATGGCTAAAAAAGAGTTGGGGGAAAATGTTGAGTAAGGGTAGAGTGAGGTTTGTCTTGGATTTCTGACCTTTTTGGGATCGTCCTTGGGATCCTTCCCAGGTTCCCAGTATGGCTGGGCATACTCTGAATGCTTTGCTTGGAGGGCTCAGAAAGAATATACCATTGCTCAGGTTTGGCGGTTCCAAGCCCCAGAGCTGGCTGCCAGCACTGTCAGCCACGATCTCAGGGTGCAGTGACACTCATGGCTTAGCCCAGAGATGCTCACCTCCCTGTCACACTGACTAGGGCCAACTGATGTAACCCGTAGGCTCTGATGGAAATGACACAGGGTGAGACCTCTGAGACACTCCAGCTGCCGTGCTGTCTCTGGGGTCCCTTGCTCTGGGGAAGAAGCCAAGCCTGCGGAGGAGGACACCTGGCAGCAAACCAAGGCCTTCTGCCAACAGCCAGCCTCAGCTCACCAGGTGTGTGTGTGAACCTCCTGGGAGCGGATCCTGCAGGCCAGTCAGTCCTTCCCGTGACTGCAGCTTCGGCTGACGTCTTGACTGCACCCTCCTGAGGGGCCCCAAGCCAGAGCTCTCCTGCTCGCTCACTCCTGAATTCCACACCCACAGAATCTCTGAGGTAATAAGTGATGGTCACTGCGTTAAGCCACTGACTTTTGAGGTTCCACAGCAATAGACAACTAATGCAGAAAGCGACGCTGAGACCTTCCGAGACGCCTCGCAGAGGGGATGCCTGCCTTCCTGTGGTGAGCCACGGCAGCTTTCCCTTCTGCCCACAGACCTCACCCGCCCTCCCTGGTTTCATTCACAGTGGCCTGGGGAGAGACCGAGAAGCATTTCCTCTCGACATCCTGACACACGCATTTTCTCCTGATGCTCTGACATACCACAGTTGTACTGAAACTCATTAACCTCTTTCAAGACTCTGCTCTCCGGCCCGTCCCCATCCGGCCCCAACCCCACCCCACAAGAGCAATCGATCCCTCACTGCACACTCACCTGGGGACCTCGGCGGACCTCATGGCACCATAAAGACAAAGAACTCCCCAGATCTCACACGTCAAAAAGTTACTGCCCGCACCCCACTTACATTTTCCTCACCAACTTCGAGCCACTCATCTGAGAATCTCTCCACCCATGGCCAGCTTTTGTGGCAGATACAAAAACCCTTTTTTAAGGTAATTTTACAAAAATATTTTCTTAATAAAATAATATAAACTCATCTTAGAAAAATTGGAAAATAAAGCAACCACTTTTAAGGATTTGTGTGCGTGTGTATGTTGAAAAAGCAGATTCACGATAAAAGTGCTGAAGTAATTAATTTTGTCATAGTCAAAGCTTTGACATTTGCATATTTTCAACCTGGAGGCTTTACCTATTAAAGGCATATTCTGGCAAATGAGCAATTAAATCTGATAGAAATAATATGGACACAGATAAAAGGGGGACCATGAACTCTGTGGTCTTTCTGT